TACATGGATCTGAGAGTGCAGTGTTTTATGTTGAGGGATCATGTTTAACCCTTGAAACTAAAAGAGACTGCGGGCGTAGTGTTTTCTTGCAAAATACAAGGTGCTATGTATAAGCACCGGCCGAAACGAGGGGATCATAACCGATGGGCTGGTGAATCATGGAGTCATTCTCGGCCCGCAAAACTGTTGGCGTTCTATTATGATGGCAAGGCTGGGTTGGCGATGGTGCATTTATACGCATGTGAGGGAAGAAGCCTGCTTAACCCTTCTCGCAATTCGCCGCATGAAGACACGTCCCGCAGACGGATTTTCTCGGCGTGACCCCGGATTGGAGATTTATTTTTGAGAAGCAGCAGACTGTACGCTGCAAACGAGAGGGTAAAGCCAATGGGATCACGGAACCGACCAAAATGAAGGCGGGATTCTCCTCGGAAATAGGCCGGGTTTGTACAATTCCTGTCGATTGCCAAACTCTGTAACCGTACGCGTTGCTGTGAGCCTGTACGTTCGAATCCGAATATTATTGTGATCGTAACCCTAGCTGACTTGCGGCCGCGGATTTGAGCTCCTACAGCACCCGCCAGAAATGCTGTGAGCGCTGATTCAATGTGATTCACTAACTGCCTGGCTCAAAGTGAAGCCTCTCCCGATGCTACACGCGTACGTTCTTCGTGCTTCGTTTGTACTCAGGTGGATCCGGTGAACTTTGCGTCGCCCGCTCTCGCAACCCTGACCGACGTTTCGGGGGTGTTCATCCTCTGCTCCGTCGCGAAGCTCATGCTAGGAGACTTGTGAAAATGAATGTATGAATGATACATGCAGCAGAATAGTCTCCGACTCGTGTGGATCTTGGATACCTGTAGATGATGTGAGGGTGTGTGAAAGCGGGGGAGGGGGCGGTATCGCAGGAGGCTTCAGGGACGTTTATATCTTGTGTCCCGTAGAGGAAAAGTGCGTGCTTCCACCCTACGAACCCACCAATATGGCTTGACCATAGATGTGTGGCCAGGAGGTTGGTTTAGGATAGAAGATTCCCTTGACTGCCCTGTCAGGGTGAGTGGGAGATAGTGTGATGTGGTCGTAAACTGGGGCATAAAGCGTGTTAATTTTGAGATTGATCTGCTTGTGGTCGATAACAGCTGCGGCGACACAAAAACCGCATGTATCGTAACGGCAGGCTCTACGCGGGTGGAACGGAAAAACTATCCCGCCTTTTTGTGGAACCACGATGGCATCATCGACAGGCAGCAATTATGTCTTCCCTCTGAGCGTAACGTTAGTTTAGTGGTATGCTGCTCACAATAATCACATTGGCAACGCAGCTTGGGTGAGGCAACCCGTGCTAGTATGCTGTACCTGGGTGTTTCGAGGTCGAGACTGCTGCTAAGCACCGACACAGTCAAATGTTACCGCAAAATTATTAGTATACTGAGGGGGGGGGGG